AAGACTTTCTCACAGAATCCTATCGTCTTTTTGACATCTCAACCAAGGATTTTGAAAAAGATATTCTTGCTGATAGATTGAGAACAGATAATGCTAAGCTGGAAGATATAAAGTTAGTTCATTAAATAACACTTTTTTTAGTAGTGAGATTTTCTTTTCGATTTAAAGTAACTTAAGTAATACCATATTATTTCCTTTTAAATATTTACGTTTAACTCTTTCCATGGTTTGGTCATCTTCAAAGAAAAACTAGAACAATTATTAATTTATTTATAAATGTCTTAATAGATTTAAATAATTCTAAGTTTTTATGAAGACCAGAAGTTGGATAGGAAAGGATATATGGGAACAAAAGTCGATAAAGACTACAGTAGGAGAGTACTGAATGCAAATGGGAGAAAGAACAAGCTAGATAATTTGAGAGATAAAAAATTAGAGACAGAAAAACTTATAAGTTATCAATGATGTTTTGTTGTCACATGACTTTTTGACAGAAGAAATTCAATTCAGCAGCAAGGAAGAAAAATCAAATGAGGACTCTGAAATCAGCAACAAAGAAGATTTACTGGGTAACGGTCGGAAACGCAGGTGTAGTATTATTTTAATAACAGTTGTAATTTGCACAAGCTAAAGCCGTTTTATTGAAAAGTATATAATATGATATCTAGGTACAATTCTGGAGGATAAATCTAGCAGTGAATGTTGAAAAGTTTATTGAATGTACTGCTATTTCAGCAACAAGGTTCAATGTTGGTGTACAACCTCATCTGGCAATTTTAAGTGAAGTATTTAAAGCTGGATGTATAGAAATTAATGATATACCGCTTTCACGAAGCACACTTCATAGGAAAAAGTTCAAATATGTAGAACTTGAAGGAGACTTTTAAAGTGAATTTCAATAACTAATCATCTTAAAGGCCGACAACTTATTCTTCATTTTGATACCAAACTGTTGGAACAAACTACCACTGGGCTTAACATTATTCAAAAAATTGAGCAACTTGCAGTTTCAGTGAGTTCTCCCAATGACAATACCATGGAAGTTCATCTTTTAGGTGTTGTTCAATGTCCCTCTTCAAAGGGAGTTGATTAAGCAGAACAAGTGCACAATCTTTTAGAATATTAAGGATGTAAAGAGCAGATCATTGGTATATGCTGTGATACAACTGCAAGCAATACAGGGTGACAACCATAAGGTGAAACACATTTTCGAACCCCAATCATTTATTAACCCCGTACCATATGACTTTCCCCTTGTTTACAGTTTGTTTTGACATTTGTTTAGAAAAAGTTTTAAAAATTTGAGGAAGAAAAAATGAGGGATTGTATGAAAAATACAGATCTAAATCCTATCAGGGAGCTGATAATTTCATTACACAAAAAAAATTTAAGTCAAGCTGATATTTGGAGACGCCTAAATGATATAAAAGTCAGCAAATCATTGATTAGTTGAACAATTTCTCGTTACAAAACTACTGGGCAAACAATTCCAGCTAAAACTAGAAAAAGAAAGCGCGTCAAGCGCACTCCAGCAATCATCAAAGTGGTAAGAGAACGTTTACGAAGAAATCCTGCTCGCTCAGGTCGGCAGCTAGCTAAAGAGCTGAACATGTCATATACCTCTATGCAAAAGGTTATAAAACAAGATTTAAGACTTAAGTGCTACCGTAAACAAAAAATTGCCGGCCTCACTGACAAAAACAAGGTGGAAAGAGTCAAGCGTTGCAAATCGCTATTGAAGCGGCACGGTGGTGCAGATATTGTTTTTTCGGACGAGAAAATGTTTACTTTAGAGCGCCCGTTGAACAGACAAAATGACAGAGTTTATGCTGTAAAGCTCTCTGATGTTCCTATAAACGTTAGAACTGTCCCTCGTTATCAGAACGCTTTGGCGGTCATGGTATTCGGGGCCATCTCGAAAAAGGGGAAATTTCCTCTGAAATTTATCGATAGAGGGGTGAAAATCAACAAAGAATACTACTTACAGAATGTGATCAAAGATTTGATTGAACCTAAGGCTAAAGAAATGTATGGTGATGATCCATGGGTGTTCCAGCAAGATTCTGCCCCTGCACACAAGGCTGTTGTTGTTCAAGATTACTGCAAGCAAAATTTCCCAGATTTTATCGATACCAAAGAATGGCCTGCTTCGAGTCCTGACCTCAATCCCCTTGATTTCTTTGTCTGGAGATACATGCTACAAGAACTGGGGAAGCATAAATTAACAACTTAGGACCAATTCAAGGAACTTTTGATCGACATTTGGGACAAAATGCCACAAGAAACTGTGCGTGCCGCGTGTGAAAACTTTTTCAAGAGATGTCGAGCCTGCATAAAAGCAGAGGGCGACAGGTTCAAATTAAACCAATAAAACTTGTTAAATACACTTGTAGCTTTCTATTGATACCACTTTCGAATAAATATAACTCTTAAATTTGAAAATATAGCTTACTGTATGTGTTTCACCTTATGGTTGTCACCCTGTACAGGCCAAATAAAT